AAAAAACATTCTTTGTAGGATTTATTATTTCTTTAAGAGGATAAATCAAGGAAACCTACCTTAAGAGGAGCTTTAATACCAGATGCTACCGCTGTCCCCTGATGGTGAGTTCACAGCGTCTTTTGTACCCCACAGACCTTGCCAAAAGGGGCGTGTTTCACTTTAAAGTCTGAACGGTGAAACAAAAAAGATAGTTTAACTTTTGGTTTCATTTATAATCATGCAATCAACTGGTTAAAGGTAACCGTGATTAGTTCACCGTTTTCTGTTTTCCATTGTTCGCACGCCAGCCTCATCCAGTCCCTCTTAACCTTATTTATTTCTTAGCACCATGATGATAAATTACATCTGATTTGTCTTAGAAAAATGAAAGAACTAAGACAAATATTTCCCATTTTCATCCCTGCCTATGTGGTAAGGTAAAACTTGGGGATTTTTCAGACATTTGTCAATTAACCAAACACATCATTCTCATGATCAGTTCAGCGCAAACAAGGAAATGCTACCAAATATTAATTATCAATCTTCTTTCATGTGGTAACAATATTTCCCTCACCCTGTCACATGCCTTGAGTGACCTCTGGAAGACAGAAAAAAAAAGTCTGCTGGATGGAGAAAGGAGAAGTGGTAAAAACTAGTTTCACCTTCCGCTAAACCAGTGCGGTTAGTTGATGATTTCTCTTCAGTAAACCTCAAAGCTTCGTGATTTCTCTTTTTTAATATCAAAAGTATCATTTTCTCTATCAGTCAGTAAAATCAAAGCTAAAACACAATAAAGGCATAATTTTAATCAGAATACATGATGCTAATTTGTGGAAAAATCCCCGCATTTTCTTTAAAGTATATCTCCAGTCAGGTGAAGATGTTCACATAAAATGTATAAAACTAAAAATCTTTACAATAAAAGGGCTACCTATTTTAATAAAACATTTTATAACTAGTAACCATGCACAACTTTTAATTTACATTTATTTGCTGCATTCAAAACGAAAAACAGTTTGTTGTGAAGTATAACTCTTTTTGAGCAGCGAATTGGGATCAGAGATACTGGAATGGTTAAAATCCTGATCAAGAAACCAAACCTTTCCTGCCAGCGTATTTGGCCTTATTTTTTACTTCATGTCACTAATGTGGAACACCACTGGGCTTAGTTTATGCCCCTTTTTTCTTTTCTTTTTGTTTTGTTTAGTTTGTGTCATGTTTGCCAATATAGCTCTGGAAATAGATGTCCCACAGCTAGCTGATAGCCCAACAGCTTTGCTTTCACAAATCAGATGATTATGACTGTTGCAATAAGGTTGATACTTCTATATTAAAATTCATTGTAAAACTATTTAAGGACTAAAATCATATAAAACTGACACAGAGACAGAAAGAAATGTGAGAAAGAAAGAGGGGATAAGAACTAAGGGGAGAGAAAGAGATACAGACAGGAAATACTCCATGAAAAGACAGAAAACAAAACAAACTCGCAAAAAAAGACAAGACAGAAGATATGCAGTAACCCCAAGAAGCCTGCTTCCATACTTGTATGAGACATAAGGGACAGAAAACAGAACATAACAGCAAAAACAAGACAACAAACAAGTAAACATAAAAAAAGCTTCAAGAGCCTTGTTTGTTGGGGTCAAAACCTATGTTGATTACACAATATTATTCAGGATGGTATATATCTGTAGCTGCAGCTCAGTATACAGTATTACTGTGTATCTGTGAACACCTGGAACCAAACTCATGTGGTATGTATGTATGTATGGGCATGCTCATGTATAAAGGATTTACAAAGCTACTTCAGAAGGGAACTATGCTTAATGGAAGGTGTGGGTGGCCCTAGACTCGCCCTACAGGGCCCTGGATAAAAAAAGAGGCGATATCCACAGGCATCCCAGATCACTGGAATAAAAGGAGGGCGGATATAGGGAAAGCCACACCCACCATAGAAAGGCAGACAAAAGCAGCTGGAGCCTGAACCCAAGGGGGCCTCGTAGTCCTTGAGGGGCCATAGTACCGGTACTATGGCCTCTTTATGCTTGTGTTACCAATACCAAAAATAACTCTCAGTGCCTCTTACAAATGACAGCAACCCTGTTTGGTCATTACTCTACGGCTTTGAAAATGTAAGTACCTAGAAGCTCTCAACACCATAAAGCATTTATAATAAAACTGAGTTAAAACCAATTTTCTTTCAAAGCACTCCTGTTTGTTTTGCTACTAGCCCTCAGCACCCATCGTTTTCTCAGAGGCATGTCTAAACTAAACTGTTGGAGTCCACAACACAAGGCTGACTTTCCACAGCAGACATGGTCTTCTCTTGTTAAAATCTTGGTCTCAACAATACAATGTTGATGATTTACCCCTAAAGTCAAAAAATACAAGAAAACAAGACCACTGACTGTTTTGCAGAAAAGTACATTTAAATGCGTAACTTTCTCTTAAAATAACTGATTTTTTCTTGAATTGAGGAGGTAAGTGAGAGACTTTGCCAATCGAACAAGACAAATTACATTTAAAATAAGAAAAAAAATGCATTGTCTTATTTCAAGTGCATATTATCTATTTATCTTATATTAAGAGTAAAATAAAGGGTAAATAAAGTTAACTTAATACATTTTTACTTATTTCTAGATCGTTTTTGCAGTTTGCTGCTTTTCTGTTCTTTCAGCAGTTCTTATATATCTATCCATTTAATCATTCCGTTTTGTAGATTCTTTCCATTAAATGGCTGTATTAATGTAGTTGTCAAACATTTTTCATTATTCCTCTGGATACATATGTCACTCTAGACAAATATGGTTGTTTAGAGTTCTTCACAACAAAAGTTATGTTCAGAAAGATTGAAAGAGTTAAATATATGCTATTGTGACAGAAAAGTAACTTATTTTATAAAAAAAATTTGACTTTCATGGCATGAGACAAGTACATCCA